GTACCATAAGAACATCTTATTATATAAATAGTTATATTCTTTTAGATGTTTGTAGATTGCAGTATACCAAGACTTCAAAGGCTAAAACCTACTTTTAGTCCATTACTTTTACCTTAATAAGTTTGTAAGTTTTAACTCCTCACTTTATATTATAATGCTTTTAACTCATCACCTATACGAATCGAAAAAAATAGACTTCATTTAACATAAAATTATAATGTTTTATTAGTTCTGTTAGTTGATTATTAACTCTGTTAGTTGATTGTTAGTGTTCTGTTAGTATTTTGTTAACGGAACTAACAAATAAAATTGAATTTAAATTTCATGTTTTCTATAACGGAATGTTAACGAATGTTAACAATCAATTAACGGATGTTAACAATCAATTAATAGAGTTAATACTTAACAGTCAACTAATAAAACTAATAAAACGTTATAACTTGGTGTTAGGTGAGAGTTATTTTCTTTGATTTGTATAGGTGAAAAGTTAAAAGTGTCATAATATAAGGAAAATGGTTAGAACTTACAAACTTATTAAAGTAACAAGCTAAAAGTGTCATATTATAAAGTTAAAAACTAATTAAAACTTACAAACTTATTAAGGTAAAAAGCTAAAAGTAGGTTTTTGCCAACTTCAAAACAGGGATGCCAATCTCTACGTAGCACTTAGTATGTGTTCGAATTTAAGCATTTGAGAAAACTTTGTAATATCGCAATAATTTTTAGTACCCTTGCATCGGAAGAACATTGTGTTATATGAATGGTTATGTTATTATGGGTCTTCAATAAAAAGAGTATAAAGTGAAAAAGAACCATGTGAATGGTTAATTATGTTATTATGGTTCTTCAATAAAAAAAAGTATAAAGTGAAAAAGAACCAAAGTTAGTTTCTTTTTTATGAAATCCAAAATAACTTGACTTTATATCAGTTTGAATTCAATATAATTTTTAAATATACAAAAGTTAATATAAAAAATAAAAAAATATATATAAAAAAATTTATCAAAAATATTTTAATATTTTCAATAATCAAATTATATTTTTAATATACAATTTAATTTTAAAAAATATTTTTTAATTAATTTGTTGCATTTGATTTTCTAATTCTAAGAAGATAAGGGTCCTTCAGGTTGCTACCCAATTGAAACTTGCATACAAATGCCCCATCTTCACATCGGTTGAAATTGAATACAACGTCACGAGTATTCCTCAAGTAATATTTAATACATCGTAAGATCTAATTTAGTTTCGTCATTTTATTCTTTCACAATTACAGATGAACTTCATTTGCTTACAATATTTGGTGTTTATCTTTCTCTTTTAATCCTTAATTTCAATTAAACAAAAAAACCCTAACCTAAGGACAAAATTGTGGATTTTTAACAACAAGCTTTTCTCTCATGTGGTCAGCATCTCCTCTCCTTTAGGGGTGTTTTAGTTTCATCTCTCTCTCTCTCTCTCTTTTTAATATATATATATATATATATATTTATATATGTTTTTGTTTTCCTCTTGTTAGGCGTGGGGATCTTATTCATAAATTAAGGCTCGCCGTGGTTCATGGAGCAACAAAATTACAAGAGAGGGGGGTACTGACGCGGGTAGTGACGGCAGGGTTCGGAGTATGGGTTTAGCCATGGGTGTTTCCTTTTTAGTGGGTTGTGTGAAAGAAAGGCAGGCGGCGACTATCAACCCTTGGGTGGCTGTGAGTGAAACCCTTGGTGGTGGTTTGGTGAGGAAGTTTGTAACTAGTCATGGAGTGGGTGATCTCACGATGGCTGTCTAGGAAAAAGGAAGACAAAGTGGGTGCACAGCAGCGACAATATAGTGAAACTCTGTTCCCAATCCGTCTGCAACTTTGACTTGTGGAACAAGATTAAAAACCTATTTTTTCACGTGTTATCTCCTAAAAATGAAGAGATGGAGATAAAGTTTAGAAAGTTTAAAATTAAATATGATATCAGCCCCCTCTTAATCGAATGTCAATTGAAGATAACTGATGAATGAAAAATAGCAAGTGTTATTATTTTAAAATATTACGTTTCTTTCAGCATTAATTGGTAGCATCCTATCTTGTCATACATAGGAGCTTGATTATAAATAGATTATGAACTTATACCAACTCAGATTTTGTTAAGATTTTTTTGGGTGGAATTATTATTACATTTCAAATAATTAATGTCATATTTTTTAATATAATTATTTATTATATTATTATATTATACTTAAAATATATATATTTTTATTTTTTAATAAATTAAAAAATATAATATTAATAATTCAAAATATCACAATAACATCATCCATTTTCTTAAGTTATTCATTTAGCCTATTGACTATTGATAGCAGCGTGATAATTAACTCTTATTATAGTACCCATAATGGCGTTGGGTTGCTGGGACTTTCTTTAATTACCTTTTTTCAGTACTTGATCAATTATAGAAATCCTGATCGGTACTCTGTAGGAATTAGTGACATTTCTAAAATGTTTTGTTTTCCTATCGTTAGACCTGTATTTCTTAATATTTGTTAATGG